TCCTTCTTCCGTTTCTTTCACACTCTGGAGTTCGCAACCGCAGCCTCTATGTCCAAATCCAAATAGAGTAAGAGGCCCGGTTCTCCAGTAACAGGACAGAGCAAGTCAGGCCAGTGTGCGTGTGTCCAGGAGGCAGCCCAGACAGACTGCCGGGAGGGCTCTCCTGCTGTCCCTGGGGAGGGGGCGGCCCGGGGACAGCGTCTCAGCACAGTTTCATGGGAAGTAACACAGGCATGCGGGACCAGCTAACAGGGCAGCACGAAGAGGGCCACACACACGTGAGGCAGAGCCCCCACCCCGGCCCAGTCCCTGCACTGACGCACCAGCCAGGAGCCCTGGGCGGTCTGCACAGAAGGACTCAGCTGCCGGGCCCGAGGCCCCCTCACCAGGCCTGCACGTCCGGCTGGGCTCACGGCGGCCTGGTGGACCTCAGACAGCTGTGTGGCCCTGTAACTTACTGAACAACCCCTGTTGTTGAGTCGCTGGGGTGTTACCACATTTTTCCAATTAAAATACCATGCATTTTGGTGTAGTTTTTGCAGATCAGTCTGCAGGATGCACCTCTGGCCATGAACTTGCTCTGATTCACACTCCCTGCCAGGTGTGCCCCGCTCGCCCCCGCCGGCAGCACTTAGCGGGGACTTTGCAGTGTTGCCAGTCTGAGGGCGGAGGGCCTCCATCTGAGGGCGGCTGGCATGTGTGCACTTCCCTGGGGACTGCCTTTCCCACCTGGCCTCTTCTTCTGTAGTTTTTTGCCTTCTTGCGGCCGACTGGTGCGAGGTGTTTGTCACTCAGGACATGGGTCATCACCTGAGGGGCCCCACCTGCAGGACAGGGTGACTCAGATGTCCCACATGCCCCGAGCTGTGCCCCTGGGCAGCCAGCATGGCCATGACCACCTCTCAGCACCTAGGGGAGGCACCCCCCCCACCCCCGCACTGCATCCGACCACCAGCTACTTCCCATCCGGCTGACTCATCTCAGTCAGCAAACGGAGGCTGGGAGACAGGGCCACCCGATGCTAAGTGCCTGGGGCCAGACCACTGGACCCCTCAGCCACACTGGCCAGGAGAGGGGCTCTCACGGGGACCAGGACAGAAGGGAGAGGCTGGTCCACACTGAGGGCAGGGACAGGAGCCCAGGACAGAGCCCACTGCCCGGGGCCTGGCCAGTCTGGCATCCCCACCCGCTCCGACATCCGCACGGCCACACCGCCATGGAAACCACATGTGTAACTGTGGAAAACACTGTCCTCAGTGAATCATGTCCTAAGTTGGGAGGGAAGTTCCCTGATGGCTGAGGCGTTCAGAAGAAATCAAAAAGGGTTTTGTTCAACAAACGCTAAGAGGGTTTGTATCTCCGGTGTTTGTGAATGAAGGCGGCTTTCCATCACCCACGCCCTGGGAAGGAGCGGGCCCTTCTGGAAGCACTGCCACCATCACTGCAGGGGCACGCCCTCTGACACACCCCATGTGCCCCGTCCGCTGGGCCCCTCTTGTCTAGAAAGTTCCATCAGGTGGAGTTTTCAGAGCCCATGGGGGGCGACTCACCCTGGTGGGTCCGAGCTGCCCTGGGCGGGGCTGGGAGGTGATGGCCAGAGGCCAGCGGCCTGGGTCTGTCTCCACTGGTCACTCATGGGCAGCGTGGCTACCTCACGATGACCCGTTGTTTCCCCATCTGGACGATGGGGACAAGCTCTGCCCACCTGACCCCGAATCTGAGGAAGTGTGGGGCTGGGAAACGTAGGCAAAACTGCTTTGTGCCCTGAAAAATCATGTTTGTAGTTATACATGGACAGTTTTTCCCAGAAAGTGCTGTTTCCAACCACAGAATCAGCGCTCAGCAAAGCAGACTTTGCCCCCGAGGGCAGCACCATTCAGGCGGTCTGCCGACCACGGGCCTGGGGACACTCACTCCAGGACGGAGACTGAGGGCCACCCTCTCTGACTCCATCTATGTGGCCACTTCAAACCCAGGGGCCTCACCATAGCATGGCCTCTCCAGCAAAGGGGGCCACACCCTGGCCCTGGGCCTGCACAGCGGGCAGGTGAACTGGTCAGGTGGGTCCAGGGACGACCAGCTCCGACCACAGCTCCAGGCCCCTGGGGCAAAGCCAGGTCTGCTGGTTGGCTGTGCTGTGGGCGGGGTGCCTGCGGGTGGGCAGCATGGGGTCCCTCTGCTGGTGGAGAGGAGGGGACGAGGGGCACTCTGCCTGCGGGAGGAACACCCACCCTTCCCTCTGCAGGGGGACTGGTTCTACCGGGCAAGCAGAGGTGGGGAGGCAGGGCAGCTGCCCAGCTTGCAGCCTGCAGGGCTCGTCCGGGCCCTCCACGTGCCCAGGCCAGGGGACGTCACCCAGCAGGGGCTTCACCTTCAATACCCTGGCCTGGAGACCCAAGCGGGAAAGGGGTCTGCTCTCACCTCCTCGCCCCTGCAACTACCCTCACCCCCCAGTATAGGCCTCAGTCGTCACCCCTCTGACTTTCCTGGAGTGTCTCTGGGACCCTGACCCCTGGCTGGGGGGGACTGCCCAAACTGCAGGGGGTGACCCAGGCCGAGGAGCAGGTGGGGGGAAGGCGCCTGGGCCTCCATGCACAGCCGTGGCCCTGACTGTGGCCAGAGGAGCTGCAGGAGCACCCTCACCCCGCCCCCGCCCAGGGCCCCACACTTGCTGCTGGAAAGGGGGGCGGAGCAGGGAGGGGGAGGAGAAAAGGAGTTTCTTAAAGCAGGAAGGCCCTCCCTGCAGGCTGTGGCGAGGAGGTCTGCGGGGTGGAGGGGGCGCTGTTGCTCCGCGGAGGGGGAAGAGGGGGGAGGGAAGATGGGGGGAGGGAGGGCTGACTGTGCCCCGCCCCTCAGCTGGCCTCTCCTGGCTGCTCCCAGTGGACGAGGGCAGCTTCCCCTGGAATATTCTTTCCTTCTAACTTCCATGCACCTCTGGGTTTTTCAGCCCCCAGGCAGCGGCACAGGGTCCGGCTGGAGAAGCGATCCTTTCCCTGCACTGCGTCTGGGGACACCTGGTGCCACAGGGGTCAGGAGGTGCAGGACGTGTGGGGGCTCCTGTCAGGGCCCCGGGCTGCTGAGCTCTGGGGAGTGGCCTGCGGGCCTCCTGCTACCACGGGGCACAGACACCCTGCAGGCCGTCCGTGAGCACCTGGGGCAGGTGATGTGCGCTTCCCTGAAACAGGAGCCCAGCAAAGGCAGGGGGTACAGAGACAGGCGGGGGCCTCTCCCCATCACCAGCCCCTTCCTGCAGGGCCTGGGGCAGCCCTGGCCCCCGGGCTTCCTGGACCCCCAGCACATCTCCTCGCCCCACCGCCAGGGCCCTGACTCCTCCTTACCTGCCTGGCCAGCGTCACCTGCAGTATCCCTGCTACCTGCCCCCCTGCCCCTGTCAAGACCCCGCACCCCCCCCCGCCCTGTCCCTCGTGGACCTCTGCCCACCGCCCACCTTGCATCTCCCAGCCTCCGGGGCTGAGCATCTCCGTGCGGCCCCCACCCTGGCCCCCAGCACCTGGGCTTTGCGCCCCCCCCCCGGCACTCTCCCTCCTGGTGCTGGCGGTGCCGTGGGGGAAGGCCAGCTCCCCAGAGGCCGCTCTGGGACCTCAGGTGAGTGGCGCCCCCATCCCCAGGAGTGGTCATGGGAAGAGGAAAAGGTCCATTCTCCCTCCCACAAGCAGAGGGGCCGCAGAGCCCCGCACCCCACTCACACCCCCACTGTGGCCACTGGCCCTGGGGGCAGCTGTGCCATCTGCCAGGCCCCGCAGCACTGCAGGCGCGGATGTGCTGCCTGGACGCTGGGCGTGGGGATGTGGACGCTGTGCCTGAGGCCACCCCACCTCTCGGGACGACCTTGCCCCTGGGTCGCAGCCCGAAAGGGTGGGTGTCCCTGTGCCCCGCTTCTCCCTGGGCACAGACGCCCAGCAGGGTTTGCAAACTGTCACACGGCAAGGATCTCCACGGGGTGGGGTGGGGGCCAGCCGGCCAGAGGTCCGGGCACATCCATCCCCGTCTCTTCCCATTTCACAGGCGAGGTGTCAGTCACCTCCCCGGGTCAGGAGCCCTGCAGCCGACTGGCCCTTGCTGCCGGAGTCTCACGGCTCCTGGTTTCACACACATATTCTGATCTCTTCTCCAAAACCTGCAAGAACATTAGAGTTGCTGTCTTTGCAAGTCAAAGAGCTCAGGCTTGGAGAGGCCAGGTGAGCAGTGAAGCCTTGCCCCGGGCAGAGCCCCTTTGAATTGGAAGCTGGGGGCACTGCACCGAACCCCGAAGCAGCACCCACAGCCTGACTTAGGTGGAGGCAGCGGTGAGACCACCCCCGCCGTTGCTCACAGAAGCATCAAAACGCAGGGAAGAAACCCTAAAAGTCACCGGGGGGCGATTCCTGAAGGGGCCCCAGAACGTCTTTGTCATGGTTGTAGATTTTTGCATGTTTTAAACGTAAAACATTCCAGCTGATACTGAGCTTCGGCTCTTGAAAGATCTAGAACCTTCCCTGGGGCCGGGAGTCCCCATTCCGAGCCCACCCCCACCCGGGGCCCCGGTCTGGGGTCCTCAGAACCTGGGCCTCCCCTCGTCTCTGTGTCTCTGTCTGTCTGTCTGTCTCTCTGTATTTGCACAAACAAAGGTACGTGCAGTTGTCTGCTGACTTTGTTTTCCCACAGTAAAAAATGAAACATCTTCATAAAAACGTATTTGACCCAACTATGAAGAGAGAGTTACATGAAAACGCGGAAGTTAGACAGAGCGACGGATCTGAAACGACTGGTAGAACCTGGCTGGTGCGGGGACAGGGATGGATTCCCCACGAAGGTTAGAAACAACCACGCAGTGCCTCGGAGAAAGCCCTCGTGGGCCGCACGTCCTCCCCCGGACGTCTGAAACTCAGCCAGCCCGAGAACTGCGAGCAAGCAGAAGCCCCCACGAGCCCGGGAAGTCAGTCCGTTAGCCGAGCGGCGTCCTGGGCTCGGAGTGGCTCCCGAGGCTGAGTGACTCACCCAGGCGGGAGAGACCCCCGCCCTCTCCAGGGCCCACCCAGCTCCTCCTCCTCGCCCGCCCCTCCCCTCCTGGGCTGAAACTCCGGAGGCGCCGGAGAGCAGAGAGGACTTCTCCCTCTGGTCACCAGTCACTGCCAGCCCACCCTGCCCTGCCCCTGCTCCACGGTGACACGCAGGCCGGAGACATGAGGCTGCTCCGAGCTCTGCTCCCGCTGCTGCTGCAGGCCTCCTGGGCCACCGCACAGGACGACCCGGCGGCCGCCAGGGCCATCGCCTTCCAAGGTGAGCGGACGTGCGGGCTCTGCCGGGCGAGGCAGGCCCAGGCCAGAGGCATCCAGGCACGATGGACGGTGGGACCTTGGCCCCTTCCCCAGCGTGAGAGCTGAGGTGGGGGCCCAGCTCCGGGGGCACCCCCAGCGAGGGCCCTGGGTTCTGGCTGCCCCGAGGCCGAGGCCGAGGGATGAGGGACGTGAGGCTGGGGAGTCAGGAGGGAGGATGAGGGGGTGAACCTCATCCGACCTCAGCCTCCAGCACTCCCCGCGGGCGGGTGCTGCCCGATCTCTGCCTCAGTCAGTTCCTTTTGCTTCCTGCCCAGTTCTTCTGAAGGTCGTGCCCCTGTAGTTTTAAATTCAACCTGGAAATGAGGTGGCCGAGTGGGCTCCCTGCCCCCCGGGAGGGATGGGGCTCTGACCCAAGCTGGCAGGATTCTCAGACTGTCGCCTCGTTTGTGTGCTGTGTGCTCCGTGCGGGGGGTGGCCAGGCCATGGCTCACTTGCCAGGAGATGGCTGGAGGGGGGCTCACCAGGGGCAGGTGAGTGCAGGGCGTGAGCTGTAGGTCCCCTCCTCCCGTCCCCGCTCAGACTGCCCCGTGGACCTGTTCTTCGTGCTGGACACGTCCGAGAGCGTGGCCTTGAGGCTGAAGCCCTATGGGGCCCTGGTGGACAAAGTCAAGGCCTTCACCAAGCGCTTCATCGACAATCTGAATGACAGGTAGGACCTCGGCCTCCCCCTGCCTTTCTCTGAGCCTCTCTGTGGGGGGCTGCTGGGCCCAGGGGTGGCTGGTCTGGTGTCACCCCTGCCATGGCCCAGAGGCAGAGCTGGGCCTTGATGTCCCCACCTGGGACAGGCGGCGTTGGCCTGGCCACCCAAGTCCCCCCTGCCTCAAGTCTGTGTGGTTCAGATGGGCCAGAAGGAGGCTGGATTTGAGATGGTGCAGGCCGGACAGCCGGGAGGTCTGAGGGGACAGCGCTGCCCCAGGGGCTCCCAGCCCCCCAGCTGCCCACTCGCACAGCGAGTGAGTTTGGGGAGCTGGCTGGGGCCCTAAGGCTCTGCCCAGTGCCTGGAGAGGGCATCCCCACCAACTGCCTGGACGTGGACTGCTGCCTACCTGGACGGTCAGCGTCTACTTGCTAGACTCAAGGCCCAGTGTCCCCTGTGTCTGGTGTCCTGGTCAGAAGGGCTGCCAGCCTGCTTCTGGGTTTGGAGGTGACACTCTCCATCCACTCACTCACTCGTTCGTGGTGGGGATGTCCCAGGCAGCTGGTGTGGCCGAGGACAGGTCACGACTGTGGAAGGGGGTCAGGGCTGTGGGGGAGGGGCTTGTGTCAGAGCCAGGCTCCTCCCCTGTTCCCTCCCCTGTGCAGGGCCCACCCGGTGTCCCACCCTGTCCCTGCTGACCTACTGACCCACTGACTGCAGACCCAGGCCCTGAGACTCCCACCCACTGGAAAGGGCCACAGGGACAGAGGGCGGGGTCTGCTCAGAGCAGGGCACTGTAAGGCCTGAAACCCTAACCTCCCAAGATGCCCGGGGCCATGAGGCCAAGCAGGGAGGGCCTGAGGGGGGGAGGACGCACCTCGAGGAGGGAATGCTGGGGCGGCAGTGCGGCCCGGCGTCCCCTGGGCTCTGGCCCCGTGCCTCAGCCTCCCCACCTGTGAGCTGGATGGGCTCCTCTGGCTGCTCATGCCGTTGGCTCCACGCAGGGAACTCAGACACCCCTGCTGTTGGGCTGGCGGGCCCTGGCCACCCCCCGAGCCCCTCGGCCCAGGTGCACGGGGCAGAGAGAGGAGGCTGCTCAGATCCAGGGGCCCCCGCCAGCAGGAGTCCTCCTGCCCCCTGTCACCAGCCCCACTGCTGTCCATGCAGGGTCTGTCCCCGACCCCTGTGGCCCTGGAGCAGGGTCTCAGCACACACACGCCTCGTCTGAGATCCTGAGGACCAGGGGACGTGGTGGTCACTGGCTGGCCAGGGCCTGGCCCTTCTGACCACCTGCGGCCCCTCTGTGTGTGGCCCCGGGAGCCAGGACCCAGCGTCTCAGGGCCGAGCGGGAAGCCCAGCCCGGGGCGGGTCTCCACCCGTGCCCTCGGGCGGCCAGCTGGCAGGAGGGGAGGTGGCCTGGGGCGGGGGAGGCCCTGCTCACCCGCCGTGCTCGCAGGTACTACCGCTGTGACCGCAACCTGGTGTGGAATGCGGGCGCGCTGCACTACAGCGATGAGGTGGAGATCATCCGCGGGCTCACGCGCATGCCCAGCGGCCGCGACGAGCTCAAGAGCAGCGTGGATGCGGTCAAGTACTTCGGCAAGGGCACCTACACGGACTGCGCCATCAAGAAGGGGCTGGAGGAGCTGCTGGTGGGGTGAGCGCCCCGCCACCCGCCCCGCCGCCCACCCTGCTCCCTGCTGCCGCCTGTGCCTTGCCTCCGTCCCCGCCCGTGGCTCCGGCCGAGGGGGTGGCTAGGCCCAGTCCCTCGGAGGCTGCTCCACCTTCCCGACCTCCTGGACAGCCAAACCCGCCAGGCCCCAGGGCCACTCGCTGCCAAGCCAGGCTCCAGCGCCCGAAAGCCCCAGGGACAGTCCAAGTGGCCAAGGGGGTCGTGCTGGTGACCACCGCCCAGGGCTGCCAAGGTCACTCTCTGACCCTCTCTCAAACTGTCCGCTGTCCCCTCAACCACTGAAGGCAGTGAGCCCACGAGGTGTTATTTTCTGCTTTAGTAGCTGTCTCTATGACCCACTCTACAGCCAGGTCCACACAGAGAAATAGGAAGCGCCGCTTTGAGAAAAACCCTGGGTCGGCGTCTCCCTCGGGGTTTCCAGCCCCTGCCCATCACTGCCAGTCTCGGGGTCTTAGCTCTGTGGTTCCAAGCGGCCCTGAGCTGTTGGGTCAACAGCGGCCTGAGGGGCCCAGGCTGGGTGGTCTCACCTGCCCCACCTGTGCAGGGGCTCCCACCTGAAGGAGAACAAGTACCTGATCGTGGTGACTGACGGGCACCCCCTGGAGGGCTACAAGGAGCCGTGTGGGGGCCTGGAGGACGCCGTGAATGAGGCCAGGCACCTGGGCATCAAAGTCTTCTCCGTGGCCATCACGCCTGACCACCTGGTAGGCCCCACGTGGCCTGCAGTGGAGAGAGGGAGGGGCTCCCGGGGGGCAGGGGGCGGGGAGCAGAGACAAGGTGGGGCCTGGCTCCCACCATCGCTGACCGCCCTCGTTCTGGTCGCATCCGCACCAGGAGCCACGCCTGAGCATCATCGCCACGGACCACACGTACCGGCGCAACTTCACGGCGGCTGACTGGGGGCAGAGCCGCGACGCAGAGGAAGTCATCAGCCAGACCATCGACACCATCACGGACATGATTGTGAGCGCGGCCTGCCTGCCCCGCCCGCCCTGCCCGCCCCGCCGGGTCCAGGACGCGGGAACTCCTGTGCCTGGGACTTGAAGTTAAACCGACTATTCCCTTTCAATTTTCAGAAAAATAATGTGGAGCAAGTGGTGAGAATCCCCCTCCCACCCCCCGCCCAA